ATCATATAAAGATTGCATCAAGTATAGTAATTCTAGGTATATATCATATAAAGATTCCATCGAGTATAGTAATTCGTAGTCAACACATCCATTACACCATTCAGTGACCACATGTATTTGTTTTCCTTTTCCTTTTTTTTTTTTTTTTTTTTTTGTCATACAAGTAGTGATCATATTCATACGTATATGTCTATGAATATGATGTCATCATAAAGGCAGGGAAATAAGAAACTTTATGAACAAGCTGAGATTGGGCCATAAGAGGGGGGCATGTCTTATGCAATGATAATAGCTGCCTATTTGATGTGGCGATTCTAAGCAAAAGTCCAAATCAAACACCATAAAAAGGAGGGTTCTTATGGAGGTGACTTTAGACACAATTAAGATTGGTCAGAGTGCTCTCTCTCTCTCTCTCTCTCTCATATTCAAATGCATGTTCTATTGTTTGTATATGCAAGTAATTGTTGCACATGTAGTGTGTAGTTTTGAGATGATTATGACACTTAGTGCTTACGAGCTAACTAAGCAATCAAACAATATTAGTCACACATGTAATTTGGTGAAGTTTTCTTTCCCTTCTTTTGGGTTTCTTATGTTTGCTTTTCATGTATACGATATGAAAATTACCAAAGCTTAAAATATAACAATTATTGTCTTATTTAACAGTAGTTTTGTTTTCAATATCCATGTTTGCTAAAATATGAATAGACCTAATTATAGAAACCACTAAATGACAGAAGAATACTTTATTTCTTTAATTTAATTATAAAATAAAGAAAATAGAGAAAATATCTCCAAAATTAGGGTGATCATGGTGCACTTCAGGTGTAATTTTTGGCTGAAAACTACAACTTCAGTGTTTGAAGTTTAGAAGCCACGCGGTTCAACTTTTTCTTCTTCTTCTTCTTTTTTTATTCTAACGATAGTGGTGTCTTGGAAAGCAAATTTTCCCTGTAATTTGAAATTTGAAGATCAATAAAAAATGATTTTACTAACATTTAACATATGTAACTTATTTATCTGTTTTGGTTTAATTATTTATATAAACAATACATGTTTTCTTAATAACACATATATACAACGAGTTTTGATATTAATCACACAGCTAAAAAAACGAAGAAATTAACGGAAATGTTTGCATATACTACTACACAAATACCCTTTAATGACATGCAATGTGTATCATAAAACACTCAGACGACATGCAGTGCGTATCAAGGAAGACTCTGTCATAACGAAAGATAACACACATTTGCAGGTCGTATACTTACGATGTACATTTACGACGCAAATTCACGACACACATTTAAAAGAAACCCCTTTCACAAAGGAAGACAACATACCCTTGCATGTCATAACCTTATGATGCACGTTTACAACTTACATTGTGTATCATTAAATCCACTGTCATAAATGAAGATGACACGTATTTTGTCACACCCCTGAACCAGACGGCGGAAACGTCCGGGGGTTGTTGTGACTTAATTGAATACCAGCACAATGATTATACATGAATCATAACATCATTCATCACCATGCATTGAAATATTACAATTGATACTATTTACATTCAGTACATTGTTTTAAATATTAAAATTCCATAACATAAACCGTTCGATAATTAATCTAAGCAAAACGCCATGATATAACTTGATACATTTTCTTCCGTTTACCTGTTACTTGATAATCCAAGTTATTTTAAAAACGATCAACATATGAAATGTTGGTGAGTTCATAAGTAATGTTATGGAAAATGATTTTTGTGAAGTTTGAAAACCCAGAAAATCCGATATTTTCTGAGTAGAGTATTGTTTATAAAAAGGTGTGAAGATCCGTAAATATGCTTGTCGATTTTCAAAACTTGAATAATTGTTGAACTTTGTATACTTCACATAAGTTAAAATGTTGAACGCCCCGGGAAAACCCAATGTTTTCCCAATATATAAAATTACATGTCTTGTTTATTGTTATACCGATACGACGATTGTTTTTGATTATCCAGGTGACATTGGATTAACTAAGGGTTGTGAGTTGTTACAATCACGCATCATTGAAAATGACTATTTTATAACTACAAATTATGAACGATCCTTGAGGCATCGTCCATACTACTCACATAATCTAACCACCCTGACTTCTCTTGTTTAACGACACGAATCTGCTTACTCGGTTTCTCATAGCCCTATAACCGAGGAGAAAGGAGGGTAAGAAGTCTCCTTTATTTCCATAAGTCATTCAAGGCTATCGGGAATGCGAAAGGCACTTTTAGTCCTTTATATAAAAGAATTTCCATTTTAGTCCTTAAACCAATTTTTCTTGACACTTTAGTATCAAAACTTATTGAAAAGACATTTTCAACCTAGAATTACTTTATAAACATGTTAAGTCCTTCAAAAATGATGTTTTCTCGGTTAGAACCCCCACTTTCGCAACTTTTACAATTTTGGCCCAAAATAGGAAATTTTTACATTTTTGATCCTTTTTGAATTTGAAAAACATTTTTGACCTTTGAAATGATTTTAATACACTTTAAATCCCCTGTTTTACAAAAAACTTCCTTTTCAGCCCCTCAAACTTAAAAATCTCGCATATTGAGGCTTATTGGGCCGAAAAGCCCAAGTTTAGCCCATTAAGTGTAAAATTTACATTTGTAGTCCTTCAAAAATGTTTTGTTTCAGAAAAACTATTATAGAAACTTTTTGGACTCTTTTGACCCTCCAGAAACTATAACATGTCGGTTTGGGCACTTAGTTTTTGCATTTTTAACAATTTAAGCCCAAAAATGGGTTTTATGTCCAAGCATGTTCATCCTAACCATATGAGTTATTTTTCTTGACTTGATTAGGGTAAGATAGTTTATGTTATGTTTATTTCCTTCCCTAGGTCTTAGATCTCGGTTTTAACATACTTTTTGGATAACATTTTCATCACAACACATGATATCACACACAAACATGCATCAAATCACACATAGCATACATTTACAATTAGATCTACATATTTACTTGTATTCTCCACCATAAAAACTCATAAAACCGAAAAGAAAGGGGGTATGCAACTCACCTTGGGTGTGGTTTCGATTTTGGAAGGAAAACATGAGAAGAATTCGATCCTAGCAACCTTTCTTGAAAAATCTTGAACTTGGATGCTTCTAAGGTGCTAGATCATAAGTTTGAATGAATTAAGAGATGATTTTTGAATGAAATGAAATGGGTAGCTTATGGATCAAAGCAATATCTTACCTTGGATGATGATTTTTATGGAAGAAATCCCTTGAACACCTCTTGGATCTCGAAAATATGGAGGAGAAATGAGAGAGTTTCTTGAGAGAATTGTAAGTGAAATGTGTGTGTGTGTGCGTGTGCTTGGATTCGGCCGAGAGCAAGAGATAGGGAGAAGAAGAGAATGAGATTTCATGGAAAGATGAGAATGCATGGATGTTTGAAGTGTAATACTTAGATATCCTCCATACAAAGATGATGTGTCATGCAAGAAGTCAACTCCTCCTTCTTTGGTTGGGCTTGGGCCGAGAATGGAGAGAGAAGAGAGAGTTTTTGGGCCTTAAAGGCTTAAGCCCAATTTCATGGTTATGTTGAGTGATTTTTGGTCCTAATAAATATAAGTGTGATTTTTATGACCTATTAGGGCTAAATTAGGTGAATTATGGCCCAATATGGTTCATTTTCAATAATTTATTTCATTCTAGGCCCAATCTGCCCCAAAATATTAAAATAAATGGAAGTGGGTCCAATTAGAGCCCATTTAAGAGTTCTAAGCCCAAGATAATCAAATTGGAAGCTTATTGGTCCATTGGACCCAATAAGGAAGTGCTAGTCCAAAATGGACGTAAACAAGAACTTCTAGGGTTTCCAATTGCTTGTTGACTATTTGCAATGCTTGTATGAGGTGTTTGATTGAAATTTTGTTGTCATAGAGTAAGCATCATGCATGTTTTCATGTTTTTGATCATAATTGACATAAGTGTTGTAGTTACAAGGAACAAAATTTTCTAGTTGTGACATATTTGCATGTCATAAACTTCAACTACCATTGACGATACACATTTACGACGTGCATTTACGATACACATTTACAACGTGAATACACATAATAAAAAAAAAATATATACCAAAACATTCAATTTCATCTAAAAGTCAAACAAGTTAACAATCATTACATGTCAAACAACACTACATGTCAAACGAGGATGCTACCTAGCATTTCACAAAGTTAAGAAAAACATTGTACACCACATGTCAAAAGACCATGCTACCTAACATTTAACTGTTAACAAATATTGTTTGTGGATACAAAATATCACCGATAAATGAAGCCTATAACAAACTTCGATCATTCTTCACAGATTTCATCGATATCATCAGCTGTGTACTCAATTTCCCCACCCCTGATCTGAGAAAAAATTTGCATATTGTTTCTATTATATGAAAATTCATATTAACATATTCTTTAACACTGAGTTGCTATATTTAATAAATAAACATAAAATGTAAGTTCTTCTTTCTTAATAGAGCATTGTAATATGAAATGAATGAAAGCACATTGTTATTTTTCCATAGAACCTAATATTTCAATTATAATTGTTATAGTAGGATGCCATAAAATGATCATTTTTCAATTCCTTGCCTATTAAATTAAATTGGTGAAAGTAGAATGCTATTTCCTTACATTATCTTTGACAACACTTAAATTCCTCCTCAGTTATCTCCTTCATAAACTTTAACATGTAGTAGCCACATTCGGTAGATCCAGACTGAATTGGATACTATACAAATATATATAATTGATTATTGCAATATTCATCCAAAAAATAAAGTTAAAGTTGCAATTTCAATAAGGAATTAAGTGATGACCGTAACATTAACCCAGTTTAGTTTAACCATCTTGTTGGATCGTAGTGTACAAAACCATTTCCCTATAGAAAACATTAACAAATAAGTATTTATTGCATTCACATCAAATGTTTTGATAATTTATATTACTTACAAATCAACAATTTGCTTCAACTGCATATTGAAATTGCTAGAACTCAAGGAATCAAGATAATAGCAAGTATCCGATTTCATGTCTATCAACCCAACATTAATGTATTCTACACAAACCACAAATGAAATTAAATCAAATAACATAATTGCAATCATCTTCAAAATAAAAAGGTATTTATTGTATTCAACATCAAATGGCAATATCAAACCCGTGATTGTAGGGAATAGGATGATGTCATTGTCCTTTCTAGTAGACAACTGATCTGCAACACCTCTACTTGCATCATCAATATTTTTAGATTTCCCTTTATGCGTACTTAGCGAGATCACAACTGGGTTCTCAAAGCAAAATCCATGATCTCTTTCTAGCGGGCCATACTTGATTTTATTAAACAAAACCATGTTATCATACAAAAATTAAATTGATTAAAAAAGATTTTGTTTTAAGAACAGTTATTTAAATTAAATTTCTTGCACTTACATCATATAAGACACAATGATAACATCGGTCAGCTCATCTAATGTAAGATGTGCTTCAAAATCATCCCAAGTTAAGTACGTGTAGCTATCGAACCCAAAAAGATCCTTCTCACACTGCACTTTTATAAAATCAACCTTGGTAACTTGTGATGGATTTTAAGCATAACATGCCATCCTATGTGTACATGCAACCCTTTTTGAAGATCTACATTTTATCTAATTGAACATGCAATAATAAACAATAAAGTATAAACCCTAGATCCCTAGTGTATAATCAAACTTCACATAATAAGGTTATAATACATACCTTTAAGATTGTTATTGTAAACAATATTGAATCCTTGCTTGAAAGAACTTTGTTAGCAAGCGGCACAAGTGTCGCGCCTCTAATGGTTTACAAATAAACTCAAGCAACCAAGGAATGCTATATATATATATATATATATATATATATATATATATATATATATAGAGAGAGAGAGAGAGAGAGATAGGAGTAGATCAAAATTTTGGCCAAGACACTTAGAATGAAGGTTTAGCTGAAATTTAAACCTAAGGAGTGTTTATATAGGTGTTAGGAAGGTAATGGATAAGGCAGGTGTATCCAAGATAACCCTAATCCCTTAACTTCATCCCTAAGACATCCAAGACACCATTAGAACCCAAGGAAACCCTAGGAACATCTAGAATTCATTCCTCCCACCATAGGGAGGTTCTAGAATTGCCCAATGCTCAACTATTTAACATTGTCACGTTTAGTCCATGTAGTCTTAATTAATTCCTTTAATCCCAAAATTAATTCCAACCTAATTTTTGCTTAAATATTAATTAAATCTATGATTTCTAATTAATATATTATTTCCATAATACATTAATAAATTATTTATTTTGATTTCTTATCAATTTATTAACCAAGAAATAAATTAATAAATCATTCTTCTCTCTCTAACAATCATCCTATTCAATTGTCAGGTTTGAAGGCAACCCAAAAGGAGTATGCTACCATCAATTAAAGTATTTAACAACTATAGTTATAAGCTTAAACACCTAATCCAACAGTCTCCCACTTGGATAAGTCTAATAACTATGGTTGCAGGTATAACTTCAAATTTTGATTAGCAAATTATAGCTACCAAAATCCGCTGTTGAACTTTGACCTAGTCAGTAACGTGTCCTTTGATAATTGAGCAAACATTTGTCCATTCTACAAGATATCGTATGAACATGAGACATGGATTATCTTCATTCTTTCCATCCAAGATTTATTTCAAGATTTCTGATTTATGGCGACCGATATCAGACTACTAATTGAACACACAATTCAGTCCATACTTGACCAAGTGCTTCAGATGTCACCATCAAATCATTGAGGGGCCTACAAATATCGCTTTTCCTGTTAAGAAAAAGGAACAGATAAAATTTGACTTATATGGTTGTACTATTTACTCATCAAATCATGCACAACAATACGTTTTATAACATCAAGTCACTGATGCATTTACGTATTAACAATGCACAACTGACTCATGAACAACAACTCATATATATATATATATATATATATATATATATATATATATATATATATATATATATATATATATATTGGTTTCAAGAATATAAGATATTATCATCTTAAAATTACTCGTGATAAAATCCATGAAGCAATTCTCTGAGCGTGGGTTTATCAAATACTTAAAATCCCCATTTTTAAGTATTCATGAATATTGCAACAATCCTCATAGATAATCTACAATTCAATTCACGACAGTCTTAATTCCCTACTTTCTTCCAAAAGTACGAGCGACTGTGGTTGTTTGAATAATCCAATTATCCGGGAAGTAAAACATTCGAAGTGAAACATAATAATAACCTAATTAACTATGGTCTCAAAACTATTGAATATAAATAAAACACCTATTATTTAATCACCATATTATTTAGACTTTATTAATTGTATAATGTTTCGATTAATCAACTAAATACTTGAATTAAACCATAGTCATGCCATGTAATAAACATGCATACTATGTTTTTCTATGGTCATTCCTTTGTGATCAAATCAGTTCGACATAATTCCAATGATGCTCATATCGCAATTCCAAATCCTTACTACAAGTGTAAGAATTCCAAATTCTTGTCACCACTAAATGAGTTAGAGTCTAACCTTACATGCAATATCCCTTTTGTGATGACGTCGCGTCAAAGTCACCGAGACTTAGCCAACGATGTCACAAAATGCTCCATTGAAACTTTGTTACTAAAACAATTTTATGGTGATGAAGTATCAAATTCAAGGTAACTCCTTGAGAACCTTTCTTGCGTTAAGGTTTCTAACTCACAAGTAGATTTCAATAACCAACTTCTATTATGGAAATATTTCCATATTCCCATATGATCATCAATTCTAAACAAGAATCACCTCCACTCAAAATACGGTCCGTCCAAATACTATATTTCTAGTTGTGCATAAGCAACGAATCTTTTGGTGAACTAGGGGTGTCGAACGGGTAAAATTTTCGGGTTTCGGGTAGAACGGGTATTTCCTTCGAAAAAAAATACCTGATACCCGACCTATATTGTAATTCGGGTTTTTGGGTTTCGGGTATTCGAGTTTGAGATCGGGTCGGGTAATTATCGGGTATACCTGAAAATTTCTTAAGTTTTTTTTTTTTTTTTTTTTTTTTTTTAATTTATAGATTTTCAAGTGTGCTTGAAGAATTCGTGGTGATGCCGTGATGCTAAATAACAAATAATGATACCAAACAAAATAATTTCACGTACCTATCCTAGGATATTTGTTTTTTTTACCAAAAAAAGGATATATAATAATAACATCAATAATATCATCAGGATTGAACAAACATCGTACATAAGTCATAACCCAACTAAACAATAAAAGTCTAAACACAACCCAACTAAACAATAAAATTCTAAACACAACCCAACCAAACAATAAAAGTCTAAACGTAACAAAATATTAAAATTCATAAGTCATAACCCAATTGAAAACATAACCAAGTTTCAAATCACCTTTAAATGATTCTTAGTTTCACAAAAGCATTCGTCAATCTTGCATCTTTACGTTGTCACATTCATTTCCATATCCAATCCGAGCTCTAAGTAGATGTACCAACTTCTCCCAATCCTATACAAATAGTATAAGCATTAAAAAGACAAAACGTAACATGTCAAAATATTAAAACGGGTTTCAGGTGAACCCCAGACTATTCTTAACAGTTGTTTAACAACTTTAGTCACATCTTGCCCTAGTCCATTTTCCCTCTTAATGCCCTAGGAATTTGGAAAAATCAGAAAACACGAATATTATAGCATATGTAATCAATCCTATATCCAAAGCATATGAGACTTGATTCATAATGTTTTATACAAAGACCCGATATTTGTTCAGTCTTTTTCTATAATATTTCCATATATCGAATTTCCTATGTTGAACCATTTCAAAACGACATTCATATATGTCCTAGATTAAGTTTTATTAAATCATTCAATATAACTTTTAGATTTGAAATAAAGTATGAGTTCCCTCTCCCCAAAGCTATCATAGTGAAACAATTCCACACTTTGGAACTTGCAAATTTGAAAAACTTTGCTTCGTACGAATAGTATTGCCAACTGGAAACACTTAGCATAACAATTACGCTTTTACCAGAATAAGAATTATTCTCCCACTAGCTTTGAGATGTACCTAGAAATCAACTGGACTTCTAGAAATCAATACTTTTTTGACTTTCTTACTAAAGTGCAGATTTCTGATACGTAATACATCAATAAGTCTTCAAATAGATTTCTCAAGCTCATACACCTTCGATTGCATATTTTGCGTTTAAACCATTTCAAAACTTATAGCTATAAGTCCTGAATGTTCAAACTATTTCTTGCCATTTCTCATAATTCGAACTATGAAAAGGGATACCATAATCAAATTGCGAATTTGAGAACGCAATCATCACAACTACTAACCATAATGATACTAATAAGATTTAAAATCTACTAGAAAAAAGTGTTTCCTCATCATCATTTTCATGAATTAGAGCGAAACATTTTGCCACCTAGATTTATGGTGTATGCGTTCTTATCCATGTGAATTTATCAATTCCAACCTACATTCAAAAGATAAGGTTGAGGACAAAACCAAAATTAATTTTAGGTTTTTCCTTTCATGGAATGAATTTGTTTATTCTTAGTTTCTTGCCCTTTGGTAATACGAGGGCGTACTAGTGTTTCTGTGTTTTTAAGCAGCTCACCCATATTGACGAATGTACTATCACTTACAAACGTGCTCTGCCTTTTACAGTCAAATAAGAACCATAAAACTCATAAGAATTGACAACACAACAGGAAGGTGCACAGAAACAAGAATGTGTCAACTAAATACGATAGGTTGTCAACCTTAGGTCGTGTGCTAGTGATAACTAAAAGATTTATTCTCGATTGATTCCTGAAACTTTTCAAGATCAATAAGGCTCCCACTGACTTTTTGACATATAAGTTTAATCTCTTCATGAAACATTCCTCGATGAGCAATAAAAATATTCAAAAGTTAGTAAGGATTCTTAACAAGAGAACACATCATATAATTGGTCTTAGTTTATCCTTTGTTTTAACCAAACATCACAACTACCAATTTCAAATGTCCTAGAGTAAGCAAACATTTCTACTCCATATTTCATGAGGTTCTATAAACCTACTTAGTTTGAAATAATCTTTAAGATACGATTTGTAGTTATTAGAGTATAACTCTAAAACTTGATTGGAAAATGAAGTATGACTCATCTCTTGATTAAACCATTTCATCAATATCCGGTTCGTCTTCTTAGTCATACAAATGTACTAAGATGTCCTGAGAGGATCAATTGTGACATAGTTCCATAATCGTTAAGTTGATCATAAAACATGAG